TCTTGGAATCCGTTTCCCCAGAGACAACAGTTTGCGAACACGCACCCGACGGTTGCAGAAGCTGAACGTCCTCCTGTCCAAGTTGCTGGTGCTGCAGTCCCTCCCTTTCCAAGTGGTGGACTCAGCACCTTTCCGAGAAATGATGGCTTGTGCCGCGCCGCGGTGGAGAGTGCCAAGCCGTCATTTCTTCGCCAAAAAGACAGTGCCAGCCCTGCATTCAAATGTAGAAGAGATGGTGGGCCAGTCTTTGAGCATGTCGGTCTCTGCCAAAGTGCACGGCAGCGCCGACGTGTGGAGCTGTAACTACGGTCAGGGACAGTACATGTCATTTACGGCCCACTGGGTGAACGTGGTGCCGGCACAGCCGCACCAGCAACTTGGACAGGTCACGCCGATTTTGCCTCCATGTTTGCACGTCCTTGGTCCAGCAAAACTTGTCCGCCTCTACCACCTCTTCTTCCGCCGTGTCCTCAGCCGCCACCCCCGTGCCAAGTCCCATTACCCGACCGGCATATCAAATGTGCAGGGCGCAACGGTGTCACGCTGTGCTGCACCTGGTATGCCTTGGCGAACGTAGTCACACAGGGGGGAACTTCTGAGTGTAATGAACAGAGAAATCGACAGATGGCTGTCTCCGCGCAAACTGAAAATCGGAACCATGTTGACCGACAACGGAAAGAACACGGTGTCTGCTCTGCGTCAAGGAAGGTTGTGCCATGCTCCATGCATGGCTCACGTGTTCAATCTGGTTGTCAAGCGGTTCCTAAAATCCACCATCCCACTGCAAGACATCCTTAAAATGTCACGTAAACTTTGCATGCATTTCAGCCATTCCTACACCGCAAAGCACACCCTCCTTGAGCTGCAGCGGCAGAACGGAATTCCACAGCATCGCCTGATCTGCGACGTTGCAACAAGGTGGAATTCAACCCTACACATGTTAGACCGCCTTTACGAACAGCGAAAGGCCATCACCGATTTCCTGATGTTACAAGCAGATAAAGGTACTCCCCTGTGTAACTTCGATGTCAGCCATTGGCAGCTCATGCGTGACACCTGCCGCTTGCTCAGGCCCTTTGAGGAGGCCACGCTAGTCGGCAGGACTATGGGATGAACGACGTCATTCCTCTGTTGCACGTCCTGGAACAAATGCTGTTAACAATGGCTGGTCAGGGTGCGGTAGACGTGGCGCACAGATCTCAACGCCACATGACCCCTGTGGGGGGGCAGGACAGGAAGAAGAGGAGGAGGTAGAGGAGGACATTGGTGCTCAGGAATTATTGAGTGAAATGGGTGGTTTTTCCACTCAGCGGACAGGAGTGGAGGAGCAGGAGCATCTGGTAGAGGAGAAGGAGGAGACAGAGGACCCAGACGCACCGTGGCAGTATGCTGTGGAGATGGAGGCAGGGAGTCCCTCGCATTCCTTGGCACAAATGGCCCATAGCATGCTCGGTTGCTTGCGTAGCGACAGCCGAATAATAACCATCAGACAGAGGGATGACTTTTGGCTGTCCACCTTGTTGGACCCTCGCTACCGTTCAAAAATGGTGGCCTTTTTCACACCTGCTGAGAGGGAGGCCAAAATAACGTACTATAAAAACCACCTATGTAGTCAGTTGGTCTCTGCCTTTCTGCGCCAACGTCCATCCTCAGACACTGTGGGCCCTGTGTGCTCGCGTTCCGCTGCCATGTCAGCAGGGGAGGGGTGGGGTGGTAGGAGCAGTGGCAGCTCCACCAGCAGCGGCTGCCTCAGTCTGCAGTCGATGATGAGTAGCTTTCTTCACCAGCGCAGTGAGGAAACTACTAACCAGCCGCAGCAGCAGCAGCATCAGGTGGACCTGGAGCAGGAGCTCAAACAACAGGCTTGGGCCTACTTGGACAGCACCCTGCCAACCGAGGTAGACAATCCCCTTGACTACTGGGCAACGAAACTTGACCTTTGGCCCCAACTAGCTGAATTTGCCCTTGAAAGGCTGTCATGCCCGGCCAGTAGCGTGGCATCGAAGCGCGTGTTTAGTGCGGCAGGAGGTATTGTAACTCCGCGGAGGACACGACTGTCCACCCAAAGTGTGGAGAGACTCACGTTTGTGAAAATGAATCAGGCGTGGATTAGTCTGGATTTCAAACCACCAGTTCCTGACACAACTGACTAAATCTGCCATGAATCATGCCCCAAACATGTGCCACTTTCAGGTCTCCTCACACTGCTGGTGGGTTCCATTTTGTCATAGGGTGCTGGCAGATTACGGGCCTCCCATTGCTGCTGCCAGGCCCCTAATCTGCCATGGGCCCCTGTACCGCCTCCTCATGCTGCTGCCAGGTCCACAGTGTCTCATGGGTCCCTGTACGGCCTCCCATTGCTGCTGTCTCCATCGCCACACTCTGCCATCTGCCACTTTCAGGTCTCCTCACACTGCTGTTGGGTTCCATTTTGTCATAGGGTGCTGGCAGATTACGGGCCTCCCATTGCTGCTGCCAGGCCCCTAATCTGCCATGGGCCCCTGTACCGCCTCCTCATGCTGCTGCCAGGTCCACAGTGTCTCATGGGTCCCTGTACGGCCTCCCATTGCTGCTGTCTCCATCGCCACACTCTGCCATGTGCCACTTTCAGGTCTCCTCACACTGCTGCTGGGTTCCATTTTGTCATAGGGTGCTGGCAGATTACGGGCCTCCCATTGCTGCTGCCAAGCCCCTAATCTGCCATGGGCCCCTGTACCGCCTCCTCATGCTGCTGCAAGGTCCACAGTGTCTCATGGGTCCCAGTACGGCCTCCCATTGCTGCTGTCTCCATCGCCACACTCTGCCATGTGCCACTTTCAGGTCTCCTCACACTGCTGCTGGGTTCCATTTTGTCATAGGGTGCTGGCAGATTACGGGCCTCCCATTGCTGCTGCCAGGACCCTAATCTGCCATGGGCCCCTGTACCGCCTCCTCATGCTGCTGCCAGGTCCACAGTGTGTCATGGGTCCTTTACCGCCTCCCATTGCTGCTGTCTCCATCGCCACACTCTGCCATGTGCCACTTTCAGGTCTCCTCACACTGCTGCTGGGTTCCATTTTGTCATAGGGTGCTGGCAGATTACGGGCCTCCCATTGCTGCTGCCAGGCCCCTAATCTGCCATGGGCCCCTGTACCGCCTCCTCATGCTGCTGCCAGGTCCACAGTGTCTCCTGGGTCCCTGTACGGCCTCCCATTGCTGCTGTCTCCATCGCCACACTCTGCCATGTGCCACTTTCAGGTCTCCTCACACTGCTGCTGGGTTCCATTTTGTCATAGGGTGCTGGCAGATTACGGGCCTCCCATTGCTGCTGCCAGGCCCCTAATCTGCCATGGGCCCCTGTACCGCCTCCTCATGCTGCTGCCAGGTCCACAGTGTCTCATGGGTCCCTGTACCGCCTCCCATTGCTGCTGTCTCCATCGCCACACTCTGCCATGTGCCACTTTCAGGTCTCCTAACACTGCTGCTGGGTTCCATTTTGTCATAGGGTGCTGGCAGATTACGGGCCTCCCATTGTTGCTGCCAGGCCCCTAATCTGCCATGGGCCCCTGTACCGCCTCCTCATGCTTCTGCCAGGTCCACAGTGTCTCATGGGTCCCTGTACAGCCTCCCATTGCTGCTGTCTCCATCGCCACACTCTGCCATGTGCCACTTTCAGGTCTCCTCACACTGCTGCTGGGTTCCATTTTGTCATAGGGTGCTGGCAGATTACGGGCCTCCCATTGCTGCTGCCAGGCCCCTAATCTGCCATGGGCCCCTGTACCGCCTCCTCATGCTGCTGCCAGGTCCACAGTGTCTCATGGGTCCCTGTACGGCCTCCCATTGCTGCTGTCTCCATCGCCACACTCTGCCATGTGCCACTTTCAGGTCTCCTCACACTGCTGCTGGGTTCCATTTTGTCATAGGGTGCTGGCAGATTACGGGCCTCCCATTGCTGCTGCCAGGCCCCTAATCTGCCATGGGCCCCTGTACCGCCCCCTCATGCTGCTGCCAGGTCCACAGTGTCTCATGGGTCCCTGTACGGCCTCCCATTGCTGCTGTCTCCATCGCCACACTCTGCCATGTGCCACTTTCAGGTCTCCTCACACTGCTGCTGGGTTCCATTTTGTCATAGGGTGCTGGCAGATTACGGGCCTCCCATTGCTGCTGCCAGGCCCCTAATCTGCCATGGGCCCCTGTACCGCCCCCTCATGCTGCTGCCAGGTCCACAGTGTCTCATGGGTCCCTGTACGGCCTCCCATTGCTGCTGTCTCCATCGCCACACTCTGCCATGTGCCACTTTCAGGTCTCCTCACACTGCTGCTGGGTTCCATTTTGTCATAGGGTGCTGGCAGATTACGGGCCTCCCATTGCTGCTGCCAGGCCCCTAATCTGCCATGGGCCCCTGTACCGCCTCCTCATGCTGCTGCCAGGTCCACAGTGTCTCATGGGTCCCTGTACGGCCTCCCATTGCTGCTGTCTCCATCGCCACACTCTGCCATGTGCCACTTTCAGGTCTCCTCACACTGCTGCTGGGTTCCATTTTGTCATAGGGTGCTGGCAGATTACGGGCCTCCCATTGCTGCTGCCAGGCCCCTAATCTGCCATGGGCCCCTGTACGCCTCCTCTCATGCTGCTGCCAGGTCCACAGTGTCTCATGGGTCCCTGTACGCCTCCCATTGCTGCTGTCTCCATCGCCACACTCTGCCATGTGCCACTTTCAGGTCTCCTCACACTGCTGCTGGGTTCCATTTTGTCATAGGGTGCTGGCAGATTACGGGCCTCCCATTGCTGCTGCCAGGCCCCTAATCTGCCATGGGCCCCTGTACCGCCTCCTCATGCTGCTGCCAGGTCCACAGTGTGTCATGGGTCCCTGTACGGCCTCCCATTGCTGCTGTCTCCAGCGCCACACTCTGCCATATGCCACTTTCAGGTCTCCTCACACTGCTGCTGGGTTCCATTTTGTCATAGGGTGCTGGCAGATTACGGGCCTCCCATTGCTGCTGCCAGGCCCCTAATCTGCCATGGGCCCCTGTACCGCCTCCTCATGCTGCTGCCAGGTCCACAGTGTGTCATGGGTCCCTGTACCGCCTCCCATTGCTGCTGTCTCCATCGCCACACTCTGCCATGTGCCACTTTCAGGTCTCCTCACACTGCTGCTGGGTTCCATTTTGTCATAGGGTGCTGGCAGATTACGGGCCTCCCATTGCTGCTGCCAGGCCCCTAATCTGCCATGGGCCCCTGTACCGCCTCCTCATGCTGCTGCCAGGTCCACAGTGTGTCATGGGTCCCTGTACGGCCTCCCATTGCTGCTGCCAGGAGGCAGCAGGGTCGCAGCAGTGTCAGTGGAGGCAAACGGCCACGGAATAGAGCACCAGCTCCACTGCAGCCTACCACCATGGCCAGTAGTGGTGCCGGTGTGAACGGAGGAAGTAGCAGTCAGCCAGTGAGGAGTAGCGGGGGCAAAGTTTCCTACTCGGCGGTTGTGTGGCAATTTTTCGTCAAGCGCCCGAGGAAGTAAACGTAGCCGTATGTCGACTATGTGGCCAGAAAGTCAAGCGTGGCCAGGGGGCCCATGTTGGGACTACAGCGTTGCGTCAGCATATGCAGCGTCGCCATTCGGTGGCCTGGGAAAAACCGTGATAAAGATACGGCGGTTCTGCCTGCCCCAGCCCATGGTTCCATTTTGTGATAGGGTGCTGGCAGATTACGGGCCTCCCATTGCTGCTGCCAGGCCCCTAATCTGCCATGGGCCCCTGTACCGCCTCCTCATGCTGCTGCCAGGTCCAGAGTGTGTCATGGGTCCCTGTACGGCCTCCCATTGCTGCTGCCAGGCCCGTAATCTGCCATGGGCCCCCCGTACCGACTCCTCATGCTGCTGCCAGGCCTGTAATCTGTCATGGGCCCCTGTACCGCCTCCTCATGCTGCTGCCAGGTCCAGAGTGTGTCATGGGTCCCTGTACGGCCTCCCATTGCTGCTGCCAGGCCCGTAATCTGCCATGGGCCCCCGTACCGACTCCTCATGCTGCTGCCAGGCCCGTAATCTGTCATGGGCCCCTGTACCGCCTCCTCATGCTGCTGCCAGGTCCAGAGTGTGTCATGGGCCCCCGTACCGACTCCTCATGCTGCTGCCAGGCCCGTAATCTGTCATGGGCCCCTGTACCGCCTCCTCATACTGCTGCCAGGTCCAGAGTGTGTCATGGGCCCCCGTACCGACTCCTCATGCTGCTGCCAGGCCCGTAATCTGCCATGGGCCCCTGTACCGCCTCCTCATGCTGCTGCCAGGTCCAGAGTGTGTCATGGGTCCCTGTACGGCCTCCCATTGCTGCTGCCAGGCCCGTAATCTGCCATGGGCCCCCGTACCGACTCTTCATGCTGCTGCCAGGCCCGTAATCTGTCATGGGCCCCTGTACCGCCTCCTCATGCTGCTGCCAGGTCCAGAGTGTGTCATGGGTCCCTGTACGGCCTCCCATTGCTGCTGCCAGGCCCCTAATCTGCCATGGGCCCCTGTACCGCCTCTTCATGCTGCTGCCAGGTCCACAGTGTGTCATGGGTCCCTGTACGGCCTCCCATTGCTGCTGCCAGGAGGCAGGCAGCAGGGTCGCAGCAGTGTCAGTGGAGGCAAACGGCCACGGAGTAGAGCACCAGCTCCACTGCAGCCTACCACCACGGCCAGTAGTGGTGCCGGTGTGCACGGAGGAAGTAGCAGTCAGCCAGTGAGGAGTAGCGGGGGCAAAGTTTCCTACTCGGCGGTGTGGCAATTTTTCGTCAAGCCGCCCGAGGAAGTAAACGTAGCCGTATGTCGACTATGTGGCCAGAAAGTCAAGCGTGGCCAGGGGGCCCATGTTGGGACTACAGCGTTGCGTCAGCATATGCAGCGTCGCCATTTGGTGGCCTGGGAAAACCGTGATAAAGATACGGCGGTTCTGCCTGCCCCCCCAGAGTGTGTCATGGGTCCCTGTATGGCCTCCCATTGCTGCTGCCAGGCCCGTAATCTGCCATGGGCCCCCGTACCGACTCTTCATGCTGCTGCCAGGCCCGTAATCTGCCATGGGCCCCTGTACCGCCTCCTCATGCTGCTGCCAGGTCCAGAGTGTGTCATGGGTCCCTGTACGGCCTCCGATTGCTGCTGTCTCCATCGCCACACTCTGCCATGTGCCACTTTCAGGTCTCCTCACACTGCTGGTGGGTTCCATTTTGTCATAGGGTGCTGTATGGCCTCCCATTGCTGCTGCCTCCACCGCCACACTGTGGCTCCACACTCTGGTTTTGGCCCCGTGACTGCCCAAATGAGTGAAGTGTGCGGTGATTCTAAGATCGACGGCACTCATCTGCATGTCATACTGACTGACAGTATTATTTCTCTTCCCCAGCAGACTCCAAGGGCATTTAAATTAAAGGTACAGTGTTCTGCACTAATATAAAGGCTCTCTGAAGCCTAGAAACACCCTTTTATAAGTTAAATTTGCAGCGAATATATTCGACTCAAATCAAATTTTTTCCACGAATTTGCCGAATCAGTCGAATCGAATTTTTGAATAATTCGCTCATCTCTAATAATCACCTTACAGCACTAGAATGGCCTATTACCGAAGCTGAAACCTTAAACGCCATTAAACTCTTAAAGCCCCGGAAGCGCCCAGGGCCTGATTGCTTTTCTGCTACATACTTCAAAAAGTTTGCCCATATACTTACACCCGTTTTAACAAACGCATTTAATGCCATACTTTTGGGCCAAACTTTTAGCCCTGACACTGTACAGGCCAACATCTCGATGATCCCTAAGCTGAACTCAGATGACGCGCAATGGTCTAATTATAGACCAATATCCCTCCTTAACATTGATGTCAAATTGTTAGCCAAAATCCTATCTACGCGCCTCAACACATGCATTGGATCCTTAATCCATAATGACCAGGTAGGCTTCATACCAACCTGACAATCTGGGGATAATGTTCGACGTGCATCCCTCCTGGCACATATAGTTAGATCCCGCAATATTCTCGCCTGCTTCCTGTCCCTGGACATACGGAAAGCATTCAACACTGTCTCGTGGCCATACCTGCACTACATTCTGCGCCGATGGGGCTTTGGCCCTCATTTCTTGACTTGGATCTTTTCCCTCTACCAAGGACCCTCGGCCAGGATCAAATACATAGGACATCGATCTGACCACTTTCCAATTTTATGTGGCACTAGACAAGGTTGCCCCCTGTCCTGCTTTTTCCTCTCTAATGATAGAACCGCTAGCCCTATTGATTAGGGCCAATCCGGATGTCCACTGACTTGAGATAGGAGGCACCTCGCATAAATTGTGCTTATTCGCGGATGATGTCTTACTTTTCCTCACCTCCCCTTAACATCCACACTTACCCTCCTTCGCATACTAGATAGGTTTGGCTAGCTCTCTGGCCTTCAAGTTAACCCTCAGAAGTCATTGGCGCTCAATATCTCGCTCTCCCCTAATGATTTAACCCATCTAAAACAGATACTGCCGTTCACATGGTTGCAAGGCTCCGTCCCTTTCTTGGGCATAAACCTCTCCCCCGCATATCTCAGGCCTCTATACCGCCAACTACATCCCCATGTTAGCTCATCTAACGGCACTTATGACTAAATGGTCCTCCCTCCCACTAGCTTGGCTAGGCAGGATAGCAGTTGTGAAGATGTCGATCCTCCCCAAAATTCTCTATCTCTTCAGAGTTCTCCCTATCCCAGTACCCGCTCATTACCTTTGCGCTTTACAGAGTTGCATTTCCTCCTATGTCTAGGGCAAAGTTCGCCCACGAGTTCCTCGCTCTGCTCTCTATCGTCCCAAACTCAGTGGCGGACTGGGTCTTCCAGAGCTCAGCAAATATTATCAAGCAGCACACATTAGCACAGCTTCCTAAATATCACGCTACCCATTAATGGATTCTTGAATCCATTGAGTGCGAACCTTCTCTGGTTAAAGCCCATTGACCGCCGTACAATTACAAATCCCATTACCTCTCACTTCTTTCTTCTCTGGGATAAATTGAAATCCCATTATCTCCTACAATCACCTCACAATCCCCTTCTTTCATATCTCCGAAACCCAGCTTTTCCACCAGCCTGGGCTTCACCATAAGCTTTTATTCGCTGGTCCACGGCTGATCTTACCCAGACCCGCCACTTCGTGCTCGGGAACAAATTTGGATCCTTTCCTTCATTATGCGAATCTCATGACCTCCCATCCGCTGAACTATTTCGGTATTTGCAATTGAAGCATTTCAACGCTCCACATACTATAGCTGCCAACCCAATATCCACTTTATCCCCTTTCGAGCGAGCATGTCACAATGACCCCCATAGACAGGGACTCATATCATACTTATACTCCCTCTTCACATCCTCGACAACAGCATCATTACCCTCATACACGTATAAATGGGAATCTGACCTAGGCCGACAAATCGACCCTTCAGATTGGGACCTCATCTGGTCCAATACCAAGGAGTTGTCGCAAAATATAGTGGCCCTGGAGACCAATTACAAAGTCCTGACCCGCTGGTACCTAGTCCCAGCTAGAATTGCTAAATATACCCCTAATTACCCTTCGGCTTGTTTCAGAGGCTGCGCTGACCTGGGAACATTTTGTGGTGGGACTGCCCAATCATCCAAGCTTTCTGGGTGGAAATCTTTAGGATGCTATCTGCACTTATTTTATTTATTTATTTATTTATCGAGTTTATATAGCGCCAAAGGGTTTGCTCAGCGCTGTACAATAGAGGGGGGGACAATACATGAAACAGAACAGTAACATCAAACAGTACACAAGGGGTAAGAGGGCCCTACTCTTTCGAGCTTACAATCTAGTACCATAACCTTCCTACCAAACCCTTTGGTTGCACTACTCAACATGAGACCGCTGGATATCACAAAAGCACAGTTCAAACTCATCCTACAAGTTACCACGGCAGCGAAACAGGTTATCGCTAAATCTTGGAAATCCCGCTCGCTAAGCACTACTGTAGTTAAAAATAAGGTTACTCAGTCTATGATCCACACAAAAATAGAAGCCACTATCTTAGATTCCGTCCCCAAATTTAAAACGATTTGGAACCCCTGGGTGGAACGTTTCCTCCCACCCAACTTTGACGACTCGCTTCTTGACCCATGACTTACGCTCCCGGCTACACCGGTACCACTCCCCACTAATTTTTTGTTCCCCCCTTCCTCATTCAACCGTGGAGTCACCCACCCCCCCTCCCTTACCTTCCCATCCCCCTTTTTTCTATGGAACTTCAGTTGCCAGATGTTGTTGTTGTTATTGTTCTTGACACCTAATCTTGTCTCTTTGGGAAATTTTCATTGTACAAATACTGTATACTTCTGATGTCCCATGCATTCCCTCCTGTTAAAACAATAAAATATTGGAACAAGAAAACAGACAACAATCACTCAATGGGAGTAGTGCAGAGAGAGAGCCCAAAATACTTTGTAATTCAGCCCCGGTGAGCAAAGTTAAAGTCTCTACAGCAGTTTGTAATCCAACAGGCAGTTCATAAATCCAAGAGGCAGTTCATCAACAGGTCCGATAACACAGGAGAAGCATACACTCACGCAGTGCTGATGTGATAGTCCCAGATAGAGCTGGCAGCGTCTCAGGCAGAGCTGGTGTGGTAAGCTCTGCAGAACTGATGTTGCTTCTGGGGTCCCCCTTCCTCCAATGGGGCTCAGGCAGAGCCTGGGCCACTAGAGTCCAGCCTTAGCTGGACCTCTCAGTGGCTGCACAGCAGAATGGCACAACAGGAGAGACCAGCACTGACCTCTTAAACCCACTGAGCAGGACAAGAGGTGGAGGGGGTTATTAGCAGGATAACAATGGAGGGACTGCCTTAATTGAGTTTAGGGACATTTTGGATGACAATGGAGAGAATGGACAGGAAGGGAAATACAGTAATTGAATTTGTAGCTGTAAACAGGAGGACAGTGGGGAGGATATTATATTTAGGCAAAAGACTGGTTGGACAGGATGAACAAGGAAACACACTAATTTGATTTGTAGCTGTA